TCTGCATGCAAATTGTCTTAGAGGGCCCTATATTGGAGCCCTAAGTGCACAACTAGGATACTAGTAAGGGCTAATTCAGAAAAAAAAAAAAAGCTGTTCATAGGACAGCTGCCTGTGGTAAACACAGCAGAGGTTAGTTTGAAAATTAATTTATTTCAGCACACACACCAGAAGATGCAGAGATGCATATACAAGAACAATTCAAAATAGCATACCTACAGGCTGCAAAACCGCACTTCTAAGTAGGTTGGAAGAAAATACATGCTTCCTCCTGCTGCAGTGAAAAAACACCCTCAATATTATAAAAAGATGTATAAAAGAAGCCCAGGGACCAATTACTACTTGAAAGATAAACATGATGTTTTGAAGAATGGCTTAAAGCATAGAAATGTCTACATTCTTTATCATCCGAAAGACCCTGTGGGGTGGAAAAGACTATCATGACCTAATTCTTTGTTTCCAGGTGTTTTGTTTTTTTTTTTTTTTTCCCCTTTTCCCCCCATAGAAGTGTACCTATATGCAAAGTGTAGCATTTAAGGGGGACTGTATTTTACAGACTTCTAGAAAACAAATCATCTGTGTGACTCTATCTAACAAACTGAGGAGCTAGCAGCTGCTAGCTCATGACAAGTGGAAAATCTTCCCCAACAACTAGCAATGTGTATCATCCAAGGTCAAGTTCACTATTACGGCTTCACTAATGGCTGCCTCAGCACAAGGAGTGGGTGCAAGGAGGAAAGTGGGATCACTTCTTTCAAGTGATATAAAATGTTCATTCGTATTATAAGCTAGGACAAAAGACAGAATTCCCCTGTTCATGTTATAAGCTAGGACAAAAGACAGAATTCCCCTGCCTTCCTCCTTTCAACATTTCCATATATTTTCACTTTTCAGATCTAACCCTGAAGGCAGCAGTTGCTTTGGGTCAAACCTATGATAGTGGCCAATAGCCAGAACTACAGTGAAGGAGTATAAGGAGCATGAGAAGTTTAAAATGACCCTTCCTCCATCAGCTTCCAATAACCAGGAATTTAGTTCCCCAAACCATGAAAGAATCATAGTAGAAGTATTGCTGCTATAGTTAACTGCTACTTGGAAGAGAGTTTTAAAAAAGCCCAAACAGGTATAAATACATATAAAATATAGATCTGATCAGAGGAAGGCATCATCCTGTCACAGAGCAGCAGTAATTACTGCAGTTCATAAATAAAACACACAAGCTGTCCAATGCACAGATACAGATGTATTTCGCTAGTCTGAAGTAATTACTAAAATGAAGACCTGAAAAACCTATACTGAGAGAAAACCAGCCATGGTAAAGCAGCCCCAAAGCAGTGGAGAAGCCATGCCTCAGCCACTCAAGCTGTAGCAGCTTGGCTGCTCTCCCAGAGGGACTCATCACCCACACCACCTAGGTCAGACTGACAGCACAGATACTAGAGAAACTTCTCTCCCACGCACACAGCTATTAAAAAATGATCAGTCTAGCTGCTTATCCAGAAAGATTCAAAAGATCTGTCATGTAAAATAAAACCCCATTGTTCCTAGCTTTTAATAATTCTCTGAAAAGCATCTCTAATGATCGTGACCGCACAGGCTTTATGGGAGAGCTAACCACAGAGGACAGACCATATATCTTTGCCCTGGGAAAAGCCACAGAGCGTTTCTTCCTGGAGTCACCTATCAACTGAAGGAGCAACTTCTGTTTGGGAGTCAAGCAGCTGGAGAGGGGAAAAGAAGAACACCACTCATGTTTTCAATCCACAGTTGCTGTGAAGATGGTGTATAAGAAGTATCTGCTTGCCACTTTGTACAATGCAGCAGCTCTCAAGGCTTTCTCAGGCACAGAAAGGCCTCCAGCATCACCAGGAACATATAAACCTTTAAACTATCCAACCTGATGGTAACTGTACCTTTGCCTTCCTTAGCCTGCTAAGAATGAACACCCTCAAGGTTTCTGCCAGTGTTCACTGTAGAGCCTTCTCCAAAAGAATGAACTTCATCTCACACATCAGAACACTGGCGTACATAAATAGGGGCAGGCACATGCACAGCCAGAGATGCTGGTATCTGTTTTTCTGGGATATTAGTGGAAAAAGGCAACGTGGAAACCCTGCAGAACTTGTCTTCAGCTACTGTGCTTTTTTATTTTTTTCTTCTTTTTTTAAAGTCAAGTACAAATAGTGCTTTAATGGTTTCCTTGAGACAAACTATTCTGAGAAATGTTTATGGAATTAAAAAGAAATTCCCCACTAAGTGAGTAGTTGGATGTTTAGACAGTTTGATATAGGAGACATTATACAGTCTCTGTTTTAACAGTCTCATGCAAGATCAGTTTCCTGTTCCAGTCGTAACTTATATAGACGATGAGTTGGCAGCTCAGAGGGAAAGCATCATGCTGAAATCGAGCATGACACTGCAAATAATGGCATTCACAGAGCACCAGCTTGCAAGCCTATAGGGGCTGGTTTTTTGGCTTTTTTTTTTTTTAATGACAAAACAGAAAGAATAAGAGCACAGACTTCAAATCGTCCCACTTGTCACAGAATGATAGATGACACCTGTCATATCTTAATCCAGACCAGAAGTCCACTCTGTAAGGTGCTCTACAACAACACAGCCTTTTATCTTTACCGGAGTCACCTTTTCCTGCTTACCTGAAAAAGTCATCCACCTGTAGTTATTTTGGAGCCTGAATCCCAAGCTCTGCAGGGGAGACCTAGTATACTCTCCACTGCAGCACATGTTCCACATCTTCACCCAAGCTCTCTTCAGGGCCTGGTTCAACGACATATGACACTGTCTAGTATTGCTAATAAAAGTTTTAATAAAACAACACCAACCCCCCTCCCTGTGATAACATGAAACAAAGTTTGCCCATGTTCATTTTTGCCTGCAGATTGATCAGTTTTGGCTTGGATGGATCTGTGGAACTGAGCAAGAGCAATGGCAGCCACTTACTGTCGAGTGTAGTGCCAGGTGATGTTCAATCACCATCCAAACAGAAAACAAGTTTGGGGTTTTTTTGTTGAAGTAGCATTTTATTTTCTCTTCGCTTTGTATACAGAGAGCTTCAGCCTAGTTAACACAAGCTGTGTGCTGAAGGCAGCTGTGGGGACAGGAACGCTTGCATGCTACGCCTTTGTAATACCACTGGCTCTAGAAAGCACCACAACACTTTTTGAAACACCAAACTAATAAAGTAGTATTTGCACAAGAACATTGCATCATAACGGCAAAAACAACATATATGTAAACCTTTTCAGCGTTACTCATAATACAGCATTTATCTTGAAATGTCAGGCCATATCCCTACAAGGTAACTTGTGTCACGGGAGAGCTCTCTGAGCAAGGGCTTGCTGTGCTCACAAGGCCCGCTATGAAACGCCCCAGTGCCTTCTACAAAATTGCAGCTTGGCCTCGGAGCCAAGAACTGGTTCCGCTTTGACCAAAACTGTCCAGATTTCCACACGCAAGTTGCATCAAAGGAAAAATCTGCCCAAACCACAGCTGATCTTTATCTTTTAGCCTCATGCAGTATGCTCTTGGTGTTGCTCTCTGCCAATTCCAAGTGGTCAAAACTTCCAAAACTTGCCAATATGATCGCTGTTTGTAGTCAAATGGGATCAGACTTTCTCTAGGACGAAACATGGTTAACTCCTCTTGAAATTAAGATGGGTAGCAGGGAGTTCACTGCTGTTGAAACCAGATAGTAGTTTAAAAATCTGGCTACTGCTAAAAAAAAATCTACTTTCCAATTTTTAATTTAAAAGTTTATATTTAAAAACTTTACCCGGGATTTTGAATTGCTGGATCCTCCATTGGAGTATACCCCGTAAACTCAAAACTCCAGCTTCTTGGGCTGTGGCTGCATCAACACCAGACTTGGTTAGTCACAACGCCGAAAGTCCTTTGTTGCTTGCTGTTCCATGGCCTCCTCCTCTAGTACCTTCCAGTAAGATCTGCTTGCAAATCAGAGGTTAAATGTGGTCCAGACAAACACAGACAATCAATGCATGCTGTCCTCTTGTAGGGGTTTAGGCTGGTTTCAGGCTTTTTTTTCCTGCAAATTAATTTCTATTTTAAATAGATTGATAGAAGCTGTAGATATGTATATTTAGACTTCCCTTAAAAGTTCACCCTCTTAAAAGGGAAGTTTAATGTTTGTTTTAGTGGCATAGGAGTCAGAGGCATGAGCACACATATTTGACATTATCTGGGGAAGTATGAAATAAGCGTAATGAACACAGCCACACTGCTGTTCTGTTAATCCACCTTCAACATCTGCCTACACAAGAGCAGCAGAGCGCAGTGTACCTCCTTGCAGCATTCACCCCATCATGGAAGTAATATTGGCTTTTGTGCTTTTTGTGCTCTCAGAGCGTGACAATCCGTGGTCGGACATACACTGGTGTCTGTTCTGGGCTTCCTGTCACAGCCAGGTTTCTGGTGTAGCTTTAATAAACCATCAAACTACCTATTTTGAAAGCAAGGTAAGGAGGAGGAAGAGAGAAGGTAAGTATGAACTATTCCATGAACTTTGTAAACTGAGAAAACAGGTTACAATTCTGCCCAACCAAGCCTACAATCCTCTTTCAAGACACAGAGAAACTGTTCAAAGTATAAATACTCAACGAATGTGAAGCCTGCACAGTGAGGCAGGTGTACTGTCTCTGTAAGAGCTTAAGGAGGGTCTCACTACGCTGCATTTTGTTTCCATGCACAAAAAGTGTCTGAGATGTGTTTGATTCACATGAAAAACAAATTTCATATACTTAAAAGAAAAAAAAAGGAGAGAGATGGCAGCACAGAAAGTTTTCTTCATTACAGAGTGTTTTTCCACCAGGCAATTATTTATAAGAACTTTTGTTAACACTGGAGTTTAGGCTCTGGAACGAAGTGGATATATTGTTTACTAGTTTTGCCAGTCAATCTTCTTTTACAAAACCTCTCCCTTCCCCCTCTCCTCCTTTTCTAGCCAAGTCAGTCCCCTGAGTAGCTCAGGAGCTTCCTTTTTCACCAAGATCTCCTTTTCCACAAATTGTCCCTTGAATAATGCCATCTTCAATGTAGTGCCCTGAGGTGTCTGTGCTCCTGCAGAGAACTGTCGAGGGGATCCGTGATGAGCGTCTGTCCTGGCTCTTGTCCTCAGAGGAGCAGCAAATCATCCTCTTCATGGTACTCCACATTTCATCATCCTTGTATGAATAAATTATTGGATTCATGACAGAGTTCAATAGGGCCAGGAGAAGAAACCACCTTTTAACATTCTGAATCCCACAGTAGGTGCAGTTCAGACCATCGAGCAGTAAGACAACCAGGCCAGGGGTCCAGCAGACAACAAAAGCACCTAGAAAAAAAAAAAGGGAGAGAAACAAAGACTTCAAATTGCTAGGGTTTTGAGGTTCTTTTGCATCTTACAAGGCTATTGAGTTCATCAAAACAATAAAACAATAAAAGCATTAGAAGACAAAATTCTAATGACAGTAGCAAAACTATCTATCTCTACTACAGCTGCTCTCTCAAGCCCTGAGCACAAGACAGGGCAACTTCCAGAAGTCTGCAGGAAGCAAGAATCCAGCTGCTGACAGCATTAGCTCAAACACAAGTTGGGGAAGGTCATCACAAGAGTGATTTGTCCATGCCAATAAACAACCAAGAACCCCGGAGAAATAACAAGCAGAGGACTGGCATTTTGAACACGGACTTCCTCTCCCTCTCTCGTATGCTGGAGAAGATAGCAGGTGGTCCACTTCTACCACTGCCCCAAAAAAAGACCTCTCTTCTGTCTCACTACAGCTGACTGCGACGCTGTGGCCATACTGCCCAATTCACAAAACAACAGTCACATCATTTAAACATATCCTGGCTAGAAACCTCGCAGCTACTGCAGGATGCATACGATTGTCTGTGACACAGCAGCACTGCTGGCTCCCCGGTCAGAGCAGCAGCCCACCTCCCTCCACCGCTCCCGTCCAGGCTGTGGGTGCTGGGTACGCGAGATCCAGCAACTCGGATCCAGGAAACGAATTAAGTTGTAAATGAAAAGAGAGAAAGAACGAAACAGATGAATTAGCAAAGATGAATCGAAAATGTAGCAGTCAGGGAAAAGAGTTGAAGCAATGAACAGAATAAAAAGTAAAACAAAAAAACAAACAAACCCAAAAAAGACAAAACGGATGAGGAATGAAATGAGAACAGTGATGGGGAAACAAGAAATCTCTGTAAGAAAGGCATTTCCCCCCTTAAAAAAAGGAATAAGAAGAGATATTAGACAGTGAAGACAACACTAAGAAAGCACAGAAATCACAGCTTAGAAGAATGTTCAATGTTGCATTTGCATTTTCCATGTTATTGCATATCCCCAGCATAAAGGCAGGGCCGTGGACAGGACTGGTGGGGAGGGGGAACATCACAACTCAATGCAGACCTTGGCCACAAGCTTGGGAGGGGCCCCGAACTGCCCCGTCTGCCCTCCTGCCTGCCCCCAGCGCCACAGCCCGTCATCGCTCGCCTGGAGCCCAAGGAAGGAGTAGCCATATGCATGATAATACCAACTTAGCACAAGCCACAATTGCTATCTAACGTACAGAAATAGAAAATTATAACTCTGCACAACAGTGACAGTTTGAACAACGCACTGAGGAAATTCCAATCATTTATAACATGAGCGCTTCCCCTTTTTTGGGCTTAGAAAAAAATAATCAAATAAATAAGGATAGTAGCTACATGCTAAAAAGCTCTGCTGGGGGTGTTAGTATCCGTTCAGCAGTTCTGGTGGGGAAAGCAAGTCCAGCTCCTTTCTGTAAGGCCGCTGGTTCTCCCCTGTCCGAGCTGTGCCGGCAAGCCGTGGGCAGGCAGGGCAGCCTGGCTCTCGGCAGCACCCAGGCAGTGACGGAGCCAGGACCTCCGGCATCTCCCACCATCTGCGCTGGACTGGTTTCAGCAGCACTGGACACCTCTCCCCATCTGATGGGCAGGCCATAACAGCATACAAAGTTATTCCTCCACTGCTCACTGGCACCAGGAGCTGCAAACTGCTACCACAACACTTGTTTTCTCTGGTCAGTCTCTATACTACTGACTGGTTTGGCTCCAACGTGCTGAGTAACTCGTTGTGCCACCAACTCTCTCATACAGTCCACAATGGAGAAAACACCGTATCAATTTATTGCCCTGGGGATCACCAGCAAATCTCATCCATTTTAACAAACACCGGAACGAGACCACCCTACCGCACCACTGTGTCTAGCTAAGTGTCTCAGGAAATTATTTGGACAGAGAGCCACCAAGGGTCACTGGCAATATTGCCAACACACTAACTCCATGCAGAAATTAAGACGGTAACAAACCCTCCTAAGAACAAGCACAGAAAGCATTTTGACCACATGTACCACAAAGCATGCAAAGTCCAACCCTGCTTTCATGGAAATCAGCAGGAGACGAAACAGACCCGAAAGCCACATTTAAGAAAAGACACAGAAATCTCTTCTTCAAACAAAACCTCAAGCTCATCAGCAGATTAGTCTGTGAACTCCTAGCACATATCCCTCTCTCCCTATACAGGCAAAACCCTAGAAGGTTTCAGTGGCAAAAGTTAGGGAAGATAAGTGACATCTGCAGACACCTCTGCACATTTCCCTGGCCCATGACTGAAGGATGGGAGCAATGTAGTGACGGTGTCAGAGTTCCTGGGAAATGCTTTCATGGGGCTGCTGCTTTGACTCCATCAAAAATAGATTTTGCTGTGTACAGAGACAAGCGCTTCACACCCTGCTCTTAGCACTGCAGAGATGAAAGTGAGGTATGTCTCAGGCTTGCAGCCTTGCTTGGATTTGGCTATTTTTACCACAGTGCTCTCAGAGGGAACCATAGTTAAACATAAATATATACCTTTGTCCTGACCCTTTGGCAATTCTCTTGTTCGCAAACTTTTTATTGCTAGAAGCTCCTCTCTCTGACAAGGTGCCACACTCCAAAAGTAATTTAATTTCTGAGACTGAAATTCACAGAAGTCACGTGAAATATAGCCTGGCTGCAACAGGAATTAGAATAACAGCTCTGAGTCTTCCCACCAGATTATGGGAAATCAGGTATCACAGTGCCTCAAGGCCAGTTTGAGGGATTTTCCCCACTATGTTTAAACACAGATTTTCTTGTAGATTAAGTGATTTCTGCTTGAAAATTAAACTATGTATACTTAGAAGCACTACTGATGCTTTGGCAGCATCATGTCAAAACTGTGCAAAGCCACTCCTGAGCATGCCAATGCTAAGACAAAGAACGTGCAATAGCTTCCAGTTGCCTTTGCCACATGCGTGCCCAAGTTAAAACAGCAAGTTACCAATTAAACTATAAATTCACTAAACTGAAAATCATCCACCCCAAAGCTGCTATTTCAGCAGGAATCTCACCGCAAAGTTCAGATGAGCTACCACATACACACCACCTGAAAATCACGTACTCACACACCTGCAACCACCCTTCTTCAAAGCTCCAATCCCAGGTTTAGCTAGGACTATGCCACAAGGACAATCTAAAAGGATTTTAGCCCCTTTCACTAGGTTTCCCACCTTTCAGTTTCAACCAGATAACTTCCTGTGGTTTAGCACACCAAAGTGAAAGCCATTTCAGCTCCTCCTGTCCTGTGATAGACCATTTTAAGTTTTACGGTAGGAACAGGTCACTGATGGAGACCTGAGTCCCAGCCTCTGGAAGGGGTCATCCAAGCCCAACAAAGGGTGGTGCAAAAAGCCACCTGCAGCTGTGATCACCAGGAACCCACCAAGTCAGACCAAAACCCAGATTCCCCCAAGTCTTTAAGTACAGCACCGCAGAACTCAGAGAAGACAGTGATGTTTTACTGAAGCAGCAGCTGGCCACAGGCCCAGCCTCCACAAAACCAGAGATGCAGGCAGATGGGATGAACAGCATGCCAGGTACACACAGTCTCCTTCCAGACAGCAGCAGGATTTTGTCCTGAACCCCCATAAAACCAGGAGATACAGTAATGAGAACTCTGGTCCTCATTGTACTTCATCCAGCATCTTAGAATCTCTTTTAGTTAAGGCTATATTAGACATATACTCTAAAGCCTCTCCAGATGTGTTGATACAAGTAATTAAAAATAACTACCTTGGGCAAAATCCACATGCTGCATACAGCTATAGGCTGCCGCATCAGTGAGTGTAAGCACAGTTTCTGAAGTATCCATTTGGTCACTTGGTGACTCCTCCGGAAATTGATAAAGCCCAGAAAACATGGTCATTCATTTTGTAATGCATTTTGTAGAGTGTGCTTGAATGACTTTGCTGGAATGCATATTTCACTCGGTTTTAAAAAACAAACTTCTCTTTCCTAGAAAAAAACATTTATAAAAAGCCTCTCGGTGTCAAAATTTGACTTGATATGAAGAACCATGCCAAGATAGATTTCCTCTGACACGGGAGTTTGGGGTAGATCTTGCACCCAGCAACACATGCACTAATTAGACTCCTTTGGAAGCAGGCTCTGTTTTGGTTTTGTTTCTGACTGGCAAAGTAAATACACAAAATTATGACCACTGAAGCAGCACTCAGGTTTTCTAAGTTAAATTTGCCTGGCGCAGCACAGAGTATCATTAAATGCTTTGCCCAAATTATAGTTTAAGCTGGTGGCTGAAAAGCCATATTCTGCGAGTAAGAGAGAACAAATGCTGATCTTTAAATCAACCCATATTCCTAACACCCCTCCCCCCCATGAAAGAAAGAATAAGCCAAAAATTATATTTAGAGTGGGGTTTATTTCCCTGCATATGGCTGTGGTGAGCACTGAAGAACCTGCGCAGGCTAAAGGACCATGAGGGAGCGGCAAACAACAGCCACTGTCACTGTCCTTGCAACTCCTCCCCGAGCCGGACAGGCGTCCTCTCAGCCCTCAGACCACCTCTCTGCTCTGACCCACTCACAGGCCTGGGTGGCACCAAGGGCTAACACCGTTAGCCAAGGGCTACCACTGGCACCCTCCAACTTTGGTTTATACAAAACTAAAGTAGTATGAACAATATAAATAGACATATAAGTTAGACAAGGCTCTGCATGTTGATTTATTTGCATGTGATTTATCAGAAAGCAGCCTGCAGTTCTACTTTGCACAGAAATGCTTAGAGAAATGGTTTTTTAAGAGTGCTTTTCTTTTTACCTCTTTCCAACACACCAGTTAGCAACAGTCCACCCAATGCGTACGCTTTAGGGCAGGATCATGCATAGAGCAATACAGACCTTTCTGCAGGGATTTTCTCTTTTCAAGTGGATGGTTTAAGTTTCACTGCACAAGAGCTTCAGGCAGGGTAAAAGACTGAATCTTGCCCCTGCAAGTCAAGCTGGGGACAGGAACAAACACCATATTGTCATAAAACAAAAGGGGAAAAAGGAAGGACAACTGGGGAGGTATTCAGAAGACAAAAGGCTCTGGCAGTAGACAAGCCCACTTCAGAAGACACAGGAAGATAAATGAGAACCCTTGTACTTGCTTGAACCACCAGTCCACTTTCTTTTCCAAGGTCAGGCACTGTAAGTGATCTCAGCTTCTAGAGCATTTTAAGACATCATTTAGTAGATGAAGTTGTTACGTATTACAGCACTATGACTTCAGGGCAGGGAAAAAAAAAAAAAGGAGAAAGAGAACCAGATACCAGACTACCAGACTATGCAAACAACATCCATATGCCACAAGGGAAAGAAAGCGTCCTCAGCCTGAAGCTCCTACCCTGGAAATTCACTGTTCCCGTGAAGCTCTCCAGCAGTACCATGCTGCAGCACAGAACAGTTCTGTCCCCGGTACGCATGGACACCACACTGGCTCATATATCAGAACAGCTGTCGCAGAAATAAAGTCATCGTTGTGGTTTGAGTCCACCACCCGAGTCCAGCTCCCCAAGCTCCCTGCTGTGTCCCCAATTCCATCCACAGCAAGCCACATGAGCCACGTTTGCACTATGCCTGGCTACCACGAAACATCGCGCTTAGATCAAAGTCTTCCTGGGGAGAATTGACTGCTACAGCAAGTATTCTGTTCCAATGAACTATCAGCCACCTTGTGTATCTCTAATTTAATAAGTAGCTGCATCACAACCAACTGATGAAGTGATCTAAGCTGCCCAAATATCGACAGTATCTCTAAAGCAGAATCGAGGTAAAATCTCATGCTATGATGTAGAGATCAAAGGCCATACTGTATCACCATCTGAAAGTATTATGCACTACACGGTCTTCACAGAATGAAGGTGAATTCTCCCCTTGCACAGTAAATCTCCATCAAAGCCACAGACACACCAGGCATCCTCTCCTTTCCCCAGGGAGGGTGTGTTTCCAGGGGGAGGAAGTACAGCCAAGAAGTGCAAAGAAAACTGTATCTCCATCAGCAATAGGATTCACAGCCCTGCACAGGTATTAAAGAATATTATTTTCTAAATGTTCTGCGAGGTAGCTGTGAACCTTCACAAGCCTTCCTCCAAAGTGGTTTTATATCCCCTCTTCACCCCTCACAAACTCGAGATAACTTGTGTATTGTAGCAAGCTGCCCACCAAATAAAGACACTTTTCTCCATGTTGACCAGATCTCTGCTTGAAGCAACACTTATTTCATTATCTAAAGCAGACAGAAGACTAGATTACTCCAATACTTACAAGTTTGATGAGAGAGGTTTTTGTTTCATTTCAGGGCATTTCTTTTTGTTTGGGGTTTTTTGGGGCTTTTTTTCATTTAAAAAAAAAAAAAAATCCAACCAAAACCACACAAACCTATTGGCTGGCACTCCCAGCCTTGCACACCATGGTTTGCAGCCTCTTACCTAAGAGAGTCATGACAGTCTTCATAAGCTTCACAGGGGTTCTCCTACGGCTAATGGATCCACTCGTGTGTGACGACAAGACGTTAGTTTTCCTCTGGACGTACATGTAGATTCTTATGTAAACTACCACCATAATGAAAAAGACAACTAGGTTTAAGACACTCCAGAACACCAAGTAACTTCTGCTGTAAATAGGTGCCAGGGATGAGCAGGCAGTAATGTCACAGAGGCAGTTCCAACCCAGGGTAGGAACAGCACCCATGAAAATAGCAATAGCCCAAATAGACATAATTAAAAAGGTGACTCTCTTCTTTGTGAGATTACTGTGGATCTTCATCCGCATTATGGACATGTGCCGCTCAACAGCTATGACGAGGAGATTCACCAGGGAAGCTGTCAGGCTGGTGTCCAGAAGACCCTGACGCAAAAACCAGCGGTTAACAGTTAATGTCTTAGACACCGGGCCGGTGTTGAACATCAAGAAGACATATGCAATTCCAGCAAAAAAATCTGCAGCGGCTAAGTTGGCCAGGAGATAGTAGAAGGGAAAATGAAACCTCTTGTTCTTGACCACAGCTGCTATGACCAACGAATTTGAAATGAAAATGAAGAGGCAGAAAAACGTCCCAAAACACAGAACAACGATAAGCTGTGTCCCTGTCCACTCATCTACCGTGTGAGCATTCGTCTTGTTATAAAAGAAGTCCATGCGCTTGTCATAGTAGCATTCATTCATCCTGGATTAGAGTCCCTGCATCCTAGGAAGATGAAAGGGAAAAAGAAGGAAGAAGAATTAAATAAATAAATAAATAAATAAATCAACTATTGGTTCTTGCTTCAATCACCACACCCAACATTTTTTTAGGAGGAAGCAGGGCAGGACAGGGACACGAGAGGGTGTGTATTGGAGGCCTTAAGTAAAAATTCAGATTGTACAGAGTTAATGAAGAAGATGTTCTGTCCACTGAAGGACTGCAGCTGCTTTGATGGATCAGGAATTTTAAAAAGACTTACCCACTTTTAAAACCCCAGCACAGTCCCTTTGCACTAGCAGTCACACCGTACAGGCAACAAAGTGGAAGTTAAGAGGTTAAGAGTGACTTTCTGCAGGTCACACAGAAATTCTGAGCAACAGCCAAGCCATTCTTGCTGTGAAATCTCATATTTGAGCCACAGGCCCATCATTATTTCCATTTCTCAATGTATCCAGTCAGGACAGTGAAACATTAATCATAACTCTTCTATTTTACTGACTAAGCAATAAAAGGGCTGTTACTGGAAAAATGTGGGGGGGTTGTTTTTTCAATTATATATTAGTAAATGTAAAAATATACATATATAAGATGCTACAGGCGTATACACTCTGAGCACTTGCCTGTTATTTACTGCTACAGGATTTAAGTAAATGTGTTGAAAAGGGGAAAATACATTCTATGTAACTGACTAGTGTAAAGACAAGGATTATTTTATTGGACTGTCAACCCAGAGCCCCAGTGAGCACCACAGAGCCCACTACCTCCAAAACCAAAACACGGTTCCCTATCCAACCAGAGGATAGAGCAAGCCCCAGCAACAGCAGTAGTACTAATTTTTTTTTTTCCTTATACCCACTCAGCACTATTTTGGACATAGGGCTATTAAACATGATGGAAGGGGGAGTCTGTGTTCCAGATTACATCACACTTCAGCCACTCCAGTGAGGTCAATGTCAGCTGCCTTGGCAATTTTACTGCCTTTATTATGAACCAAACTGACCTTGGACTAATTTACACAGCCATTACTCGTGGTGAGCAGACCCCACGCAGGGTCTCACAGCCTCGTAGGAAGAGTCTGTGTCTGATCTCCACTAGCCCTCCCATTTGCTGTCAGTATCTGAATAAGGGTTTTAACAATTACTTCATTAATAGATATTGTAGGAACCCAACCGTGGCACAAGATCCTAATCACGTTAGATGTTATTTTAAGGATAGAAAGGAGGAAGTACAGGGATACAGAGCCACAGAGGAGAGGCAGCAACGCTCACAGCATTTGGAAACCTCCTTGTGAGCCTCAGCCTGTCACGAGTGCCAGAGGGACAGACCGAGTGGGGCTGAAAAGAAAAAACAAACAAAAAACCTAGAAGTGGTTACAGACAGAAAGACACAAAAAACATACAAACCTCTCACCTCTGCAACTAGAACTGATCACAGATAAAGGTCAGGTTCACTCAGCCTGTTACTGTCCTGTGGTTGCTGAACAGTTATCTCTCCAGGGACTAGGAAGCAAATTAAGCAATCCCCAGCAGGCTGGCTAACAAGCCACATCTATATTAAAGGTTCCTTCCGAGTTTTAAGATAAAAAGATTCATCTGCTGTCATTTATGTTACTTGTGTTATTTCTCTCATGCAATGTTTTTATTATCTGTTTTAAGCCAGCTTGTTCCATTACATTACTAATATTTTCAAAGTAATTTTTTTTAATATTTACTTTTTCTGAACTAGCTCTCCTTGGCCTTTTCTTCTTGGTTCCCTTCCTACATCTCGTAGTCAACAAGAAAGCAGGCCTCTTGACAATGGCGTTCATTTTGTTATCCTCAAGAACCTAGGCAGCCACTTCTTTCATAAAAGTATATATTACTTAAAGCATCCAATTCAAGTACACAGTCAGAACAAAGAACAATTACTTAAGGAAAAGAAGTGAAAGGAAACAAGTAAATCATCCCTTGTTCTGAAATATTACAGATCATCTCTTCGCCTAAAAATAAAAAAGCCTTGGCAACTCAAGTTTACCATAAGGAGTCAACCGGAATTCAATGCCTACCGCTCCCTGTTCAGGGCAAGAGGGTAGAATTGGGCAGTCAGAACATTCCTCATTCTCACTCAGGAAGTACTCAAAAGTCAAATTAAGTCTGCAAGTGACCAGAAGTCCCTGACGAGCTGCAGACAACAGCTGCTCAAGCAGCCAAGCGCTAGGAACCCTGCCCAGCTGACATGGCTCTGGTCTTACCACCAGCGCAGTAAAGAACTTGCTTGAGCTTGACGTGAAGCTTATACAGAACAGCCCAGATGTCTGCAAAAAGAAGCGGCATTTTGGGCAAGAACGACAGAAAAAAGAAAAAAAAAAATCTGTGAAAATTATAGGGAAGGTTTTCTGAACATGTTGTATCTTACTGTGTAATCATCTCAACAGCTGAATCTCTTTTACTTGTAGTGACAGGAGAGTAGAGAGATCTGCATATACTTTTTGAATCTCATCTGGAGAATAAGCTTAAAGAAATCCAAAATATCGACTATGAACTTATTCTAAATACTTCAGCTTAAGATCTCATCATCATTTGAAGTAATACCAAAAAAAAATTAAAAAGCAAAACTCCTCACAGATCCATAACTCTCCACCAAAATTATCACACTACAAACACTTACTGTCACACAGCAGAGCTCAAATGACAAATGATTTTGAAAGAGATGTCTTGAGATGTTGAGATAAGGCAGGAAGGAGTAGAAAAGCATCCAGTTGAGGTCTCAGGGCAGACTCTGGAGGCGTCCAAATGGAAGCTGCATCAAAGCAGTAGCTGAATGGGAGCTAGTGGGCATCCCAGTTAGAGCAGAGATGTAGCATGCAGCCATCTACACTGGCCTATTTTCAAAAAGCACTTGTCATGCCAAGGTCCTTCCAGGCAATGGTTTATCTCACACCTTCATCTTACTTTAAGTCCTCCCAGCAGAAGTAGCCTGACCTCAGGGGAGCTGTGCAGCTGCGACAGAGCTACGCAGCTGTATCCTCAGTGGTCCTGCCCCAGTCCACACCAGGCAAAAGAGATGCACAGTAGGATATCCCATATTTCCTGGCTCGTCACAGTTCAACACATTGCAGGATTTTATTCTCCAGGTCTTCTCTTCTGCAGCCAAATCAGAGCTGTTTAAAAACTTGAAAAGAAAAAAAAAAAACATCTTAAATATTACATGTATGAAATTCATCTATTAAATATACACAAACTTGAAGACTCAGGCAAAATATTGTTCAAAGTTTTAAAAATAACAGAAACTGAAATGATAGGAAAATAGCTAAGCTGGTCATCCCAGCCTCATAAAGGCAACAGAAAGTCTCCCAGAAGTCTGCAGAGAGCTTCCCGGTTTTGCTACTCACTTTGTGATGAATTGCCGGCTTTTGCTTTGAAAGCGCCTCTCACGAGTTTGATACTTCTCATTACTTATGCAAAAGGACATCAAACAATCTCCACTCACCTTTTCTATGCCACTTGGTATTTCACAGCCCTTCATATAAACCTCCAAAAGCTTGATGACAGTAACCATGTACTGCATATTCTACGCACGGGTTGAGCTATTAGCTTGCCACAGATCACTTGCAAGCAAATACATCAAAACTTTGCAAGTGTCAAAAGCAAGCCCTTGTCAAAAAAGTTCTTTTCCTTATTTCCATCTATTTAATTACTTTAGTCCAACCAAGAATGGCTACAAAGATCAGAAACTGATGGACTGCGAAGTGTGTTTTCCTCTGCCACTCTGAGTAAACACGAGCTTTGACTGGGAGAAATCACCTGTTCCAAAAATCTCACAGGATTTGGTTCAGTTAAACTGCTTTCAAATGCAAAAGCGTGCATTAAGAATTCTTCCCAATCCAGCACATTGAGTTCTGTCTGTCTTAAAGACAGCTTCTATATTTTAATTGATTTTAAATTCCTCTACGTAAGCCCAACTTGTATCAAGTCAGAATATGTTCTTCGCCATTCTTAAAATAGAAGTCAAAATTTGTATGAACATGTACTACATTAGACCCCTAAATAAAGGGTTAGTAAAATAAAATATCACCTAGATAATGTTTTGGACAAAAGCTTCAGTTAGCTAACAGGCTTTAATAGGTGTTATTCAATTAGAATCTAGCTTGCTTCAAAGAAGTTACTAAAAATCTGTATATTTATAATGAAATTGAATATCAGTTATTTAAATCAAGGATGTAGATGATTCAAATTCCGATTAAAACAACTTTTTAAAGTCACTCTGACTCAAAAGTTAAATTCAGCCTGTAAATCAGCTCAAAGTTGAGTTACTCATTATTAATGAAGACATTTATGAAGGAAAACTCAAATAGTACTTTAATGAGAAGGTCATTATAAAATCTAGCCAGCAAGCCATAATGTGATTCATGGCACACCCCACTGGTTTTCTGCCTCTTTCCTGTCCATTAAAAACCAAGTTGTTTCAGCACTCCGGCCACAGCCCTGCTGAAGGGCTGGCGTCACTTTGGGGGGCTCGGATGACTTCTGCCTGGCTCCTGTGTAAAGCAACAGGGAGGGAGCGCACAAGCACGGGCTGGCACCGCGAGCTGCTGCGAGAGGACTCAAGCCGCTGGACTGAAAAGCCCATGGAATGGGACTGAACCTGCAGGAAGCCCATAGCAGTGAAGCCCTATAGCAAGACTGAAAGTCAGCTTGGGCGAGAGCTGAGGGAAGTTTGCCCAGGGAGAACCCTAGCCTAGTCTACCGCTGGTTTTCCCAAGCTGGCACAGGGATTTCTCTGCAGAAATACAGGGCGGTCCAGCATCCAAAATGACACAGCCTGGCACAGGAGAGAAAGCGAGGCCAGCACATTGCGGGCAGCTCCATGGCCAGCACAGCGGGCACGCTGCCAGCCCGCAACAGAGCGCTTCACCTCCCCGTCTCCCCCGTCCATTAGCAAAGACGAGGGATTAAATACAGATCTAAGACATCTTTTAACTTATTACAGAAGTTGCCCTTCAGAAAGCAGAGTTTATCACGCTGACTGCTCGCAGGCATTGGCAGCAGAGCAAGGAGCCAAGTCACCTCAGACACTCCCTTTGCATTCAAACTGTTACTGCAGAGAAATATTAAGCAGGAGCAATTGCCTATCTGCTAGTACTGCTCAGGCTTTTTAAACTTCTCCTACAACGAGCAGACAGCCCTTGATACAGCCCCACAAAAGCAGCGTCTGGAGGCTCCCCCCCCCCATGCGCAGCCCTCGGGACGGGCTCCCCGCAGCAGCGCTCTCACCTGCCCGCACTCTGCCAGGGGCAGACAGAAACACCCGCCGCCCCTTCCTCTGCTTCGGGATGAACAATCAGCGCTGCTTTTATTTTTCTAGTTATCAAAAATCTCTTTCTCACTTCGCCCCCAGAGGAAAGCGCAAGCAGAAGAAAGCCGGGGTGCAGGGCAGCCAAGCTATTCGCACAAGGGAAAAGGCTCCGTGCTCCCCTCCACACCCTGAGCACATGGTATGGCCAGAGAGGAAAACACAGCCAAATGATTGCACAGTAACCCAAGAAACCCATTCAGGCTACCTCAGCTTAGAAAGAAATACCAGTGCACAAAAGGGTGTGTAACACAGTAGAGGCCAAAAACGTTAATATATAACTGTAAGAAAGAGCTCTGAGAGGTAAATACTCTGGTTCACTTTTAATTGTCTTCAGTAGCTAATTGATATTACAACAAAAATCAACTTAGAGAAACAAACTGAATGGAAGCACATCTAAACTAATGCTTTTTTATCTGGTACTATCAGAGGAGGCAAAGGAAGCTGACATTCATTTAACAGGTTTTACAGAGACAAATTACCTCACAAGTAACCGTTTCACCTTTGTTTATGAAGGAAATTATGTGGGCGCTGTCTGTACGTGGAACACCATGCTACATGGCCCACTCTAAGAAATTCAGAATATACTTTTTAGAGGCCATTTTTTAAATTCAGCTTTGCAAATCGGAAAAAAGTTATTATTATAAAACCCGTGGGGCTCAATGAGTAAGTTCCTAATCAGGACAACTTCTTTATCAGCAAGGGAATCCCGTGTTTCACTATATTTTTTCTTTGTAACTTAAGTATCCTGAATTTCAGATAATTGGCTGAACTCAAATTCAGCACACACAAGCAGCATTATGCCATTATCTTAGTCTTCAATGCCTTTCAGAACAGAGTACAGAGTGTCACATCCCTTACCACGCCAAGGCCGCTTCATCTACACAATGTTAACTTGATGAGAAGTACAGCAGTGCTCATACTTACACTATGGTTCTGGCAATTTCCAGGAATAGTCCATTTTAATAGGATCATCTTTTGAACTGGAAAGGGAAAGGAGTGGGATGAAGGGAATCAGGATGATTCTCTGGCAACTCTTAAATATCAGAGTTGGAAACACCTAAGGCTTTATTATTTATCATATACCCTGCATAAAACACCAAGGCTATATGGTTCAAACAACGTATCTCAAGAAAAGTATTAAGCCTACCAAAAATGCTTAACCTCAAGACCAAATATTTAAGTTACAGAGAGAGGAAGGAGCACCGCCAGCCACGGACCACAGCGCTCTGTACACACAGACTGATAAGAGGCTTAAAAATCACTGTGGGAGCACAGAAGTGTCACCCTGCACACGCATGCGACAGGGCCCTTCCTCTGCACGCTGCGGCAGCCTGGCACGGGCACTTGAACTGTGAAGCACAGAGATACAGAGGCACCTACATCAAGGTTTTGCAGAGCTCAGGCTCCTGAAATCCCTCTAGTCCAAAGCTGCTCTTATACACTAAATTGCTTTTTAAAGCTCTGATCCACTGCAGAGAGTTGTTAGAGACAGATACTAAGCAACTTGCTAGTTACCACAAGTTTAAACTTCAGACTTTGGTAATTTAAGACTTTCTGAAATTATGGTTTACTAAATCTATATATGGAGTTCAAACTAAAAACTTTACTGCAAAGCTTTCATTTAGTCTCCTTTAAGTGTGGTTCTGGAAGGAGCTGGCAGGTCATCCTATAATGCGGAAACAGACACAGCATTTAAAGTATTTAAAAGCCATTCAAACAGCCTGTGCGTTGTGAAACACGCTGAGAAGAAAATACCTGTTCTGCTTCTAAACTAACTTTTCCATTTCTGCAGAACTTCCAGGTCTGCTCATCGATCACTATCAGCTCCACTTTACAGTTCAACAAATCAACTTGCTTTCACAAAACCTACAGAATGTCAATACAGGCTATTTCAGCACAGTCACAGCCAAGTGAACCTTTACTGTTTAATTTCAGCTCTTAGCTGAGGAGGACCTGAATCATACCACTACCGATTACAACAGCCACCTGACTGCACCTGGTCTGTTAACAGATGCAGAGCCCTGGTTCGCAAGCAAACATTTCAGTGGAACTGCCAGAAACTGCAGGCTCCAAGATGTATCTTCTAGAGCCATGAAAGCAGATCTAACGGCCTAAAAGCAGAATTCAGGTTTGTGAAATCTTTAAGACTATACCCAAGAGGATGTCAAACATTATGCCTCAGAAATCTTATTCCATTATCTGATAGCATAAAGACTATGCTGCAAAGACTATATTCTAAACCGGTTAACGCTCACAGTAGCACAGGAGGGTAAGGATACAGTCAGTCCCAACTGTCCGAAATGGCAGCCTGCCATTCTGCAAAGCCAAATACATCTTTCAGCTTGCTGGTCAGAGCTACTGCTTCTTTACCGACTGTGCAAATGAGGGTGGGGTGGTAG